CCAGGGAGAGGAATGTGCTTCTGTAGATCCTTAAACTGTGTTGTCATATTTTTTTCTTGTCCTTCATGTGTTCATACAAATGCCAAAGATAGAAAAAAAGTGTGCAAATGCTGAGATGTCATCTGCAAGCAGAGAGCTTCATTTAAAAAAAAAAATGCTTTGTACAGCTTGCTGGTATGTGTGTACCAACATGTGACTACCTTTGAACATAACTCGTTACAGATGGGTAGCAATGTTAAATCCTCTTATCAGGGCTTTCAGATCAATTATCTTAAGTAATGAAACATTTAAAATATTCCTCTACAGGAAGTTCTGTACTCGAAATCTCAAAACACCATACTTCTGTGGTGTGTGCACAATTTCATGTCATTATCAAACTTGGGATTTTATTTATCTTTAAACGGGTATTATTTTAAGCCAAATGTACCTAAAGTGTTTTGTCTTTGTTCCTTTTAAGAACTACAGTTCAATTCTTTATCATTGTATTGTTTTTTTCCCCATAGCATCTAGTTTTCTCCATAGAATTGAATGGAGAGTCCCCACAAAGATATAATTACAAACCTGTGTGTGTGTGTGTGTGTGTGTGCATGAGTGTGTGTGTGTGTGCATGAATGTGTGCATGAGTGTGTTTATGTGTGTGTGTGTGTGTGTGTGTGTGCTCGGTGGCAGCCAGCAGAGTGTGAAAGTGACCCCCGGCAGGAAGGGGAAGAGCAATAAACGGACCTGGTGCTGACAACATCCCTGCAGCCTGGCCTTTCAAGCCTCTGCTGGGTTTTATTTTTTATTTTTTTTATTTTTTTGGCTTTCCTCTTGTCTGTAGAAAAGCCCCTTTTTGTGATTTATGTTCAGGGGGCTTTTGTGTAAAGATGCAGGCATAAAGAAACTGCAAAGACTGAAAGATCGATTTCTGAATCAAATTTTTTTGACATCTGTGTTTAACAAAGGAAGGCTGTTCCTTTAAAATGAAGCCTGTTGTCTGTCCAGTGAGATGCTGGCCCAGCTGTGCGAGGCCAAGCCAGATGAGCTCTTAGGAGGGACGCCAGGGCTGTAGGGATCCAGCAGGGATCCAGCAGAGATCCAGCAGAGCCCCTGAGATCTCAGGCTGCTCCGCCACCCTGCTTGTGCGTGTTAAACTGGCTCAGGTCACTGATCGATTCAGTCTCATGAGGCATGTCTTGGTTGTATAATAATATAATGGTATTACCATAACAGTGTAATGGTGTTGTATTCTCTATTAGCCAAAGATGGATTAATTTAGTATCAGAAAACAAGCCATTTTGGCAGCACTAAGACATGGTAAATGGGGGAATGATGTTCATAAGCAGCTCTTTGTTGCTTTTATATCATTTAAAATCTTTTTTTCCTTGTAACAAATTATTTTGTATGATTGTTAAAAGTACAGTGGCTGTTAATGGCCTATTTATATGCTTTTAACTGAATAGTCGTTTCCTCCGATTGTATGTAATTTTACAAATGGTACTTGTCATAAAACTGAAACAGAACAGCTAATATGCTTGTTTTGCTTGGTGGGGGATATTGTACTTGTGCTGATGGGCAGTGCAAGTATTGTAACAGGGTGTCAAATCGCCGGGCTGGCATGGGCAGACAGCGCCAGGCTCTCAGACACAAGCTGAGCCCTGCGGATGCCCAGCGCCTGGCTCAAAGCGGCTCTGCTTGTCTCCTTTCATTATCTGTTAATGGTGCCCGGTGTGACAGGCTGCTCTGAAGGGGAGGGGGGGGGGGGGGGGGATACTGGCAAATCCTGGATGTGGAATTCCTGTGGAACTGGAGCCATTCTTAGACACTTGCCTTAGTTAACTGAAGCCCCACCCAAGCATTTTACGAGACATTGTCATTTGGCACTGACTTGTTATGAGAGTTACTTATTGCAGTCAGGATGTACATGTACAATAAGGGAATATTTTTAAAAAGCAAAGAGCTGTGTAAGTGCTGAATATAATGTGCTCCCAATATACAAAGTGCTTACATTAAAAAAAATGCACATAACCATAACATGAGCCATATACCTACAGAAAGCACTTTACAGAATGCTTGTTTAATCCTGCTTGCCTTCAGAGAATGTTTCTCAGAGAGCTTCCTTGTCAAAATGCATTCAGTACATGATGACAAGATGGCAGACGCCATACTGAGAAACTGAACTCATAAACATAACTTATTATGGTAAGGCAGGCGTATAACTCTGCGTGTAGTCATGTATAAATCAAATGGCTGTTAAATTAGTCTGCTGTTCAGGGTAAGGACCAACAAGTGATTCATTCATGCCTCTCACTACAAAGCACCTTTAAGGATGAATTTTATTCACTTGCATGGACCAATCTGATGGTTTTTTGTAAAACTCCTGGCCCTTTGTGGGTATTTCTGGGCTGTTTTGGCGATGTATCAACCTACATTGATCATCTTTATGCAACATCAACCTTTGGTCCTCAAATTCAACTATGAGAGTCTGTTTTTCAAAATTTAAGAACAAAGACACTTTATATAAATAAACTGGTGTAAGAAAGGTCTAGACATCAGATTATATATAATTAACCATCTGTCCAAGTTGTGCTTATGGAAATTTTATAAATGGCACACCAGTGCTTTCTTTAATTAGCTTACATCTATCATGTTAGACTATAGCTTACAGTTCATATACACTTTCAGATGATTTGTAAACAGATATACAGACCAACAATGAGATGGTTACAAGTGCTTCTTAGCTGAAAGTTTACCGAGTCAAACTTCATAGTGATATGGGGGAAGTTTATTCCTGGCTATCTTCAAAAAATGGCTCACCCAGATGAGTAGGTAGCTATATGTAACTGAGTGGAGACACTACTAGAGCGCAGGGTATTCTCATACATGCATGTTAACTTGCACTGTAACACACAATAATGTGTGATGGTCAGTTCACCTTGCTTTGCAGTATATTTATGTGCAGTGTTTGAAGTAATATGTAGTGCTCTTGACTTTTAGTGTTTCCATTCAGCAAATCAAAGTACTGCAAACAGCATTGTTTTAGCAATCATTTATGCAAAATGGTTTGTGGAATTTCATTTCTTGGAGATTATGGTTATAATGGAGAGCAGTGTAGCCCTGTGCTTTAGCCCTGCATCCTCACAGATCTGGACAGTTGGTCATTCTTGCCCCTGGCTCTCTCTGTATGAGCAGGCATTTTGCTTGTTGGCCCTGTGCTCGCATATATAAACATTGGTGTGTCCAGTTGACCAGTGTGTGTGTGTGTGTGCCCTGCATTGGCTTGGCTTCCTTTTCAGGGCATCCCCTGCCTTGTGCGCTGTGCTTCCTAGAATAGGCTCCAGGCTCTGTATTGAATAAGTTATGGTTTGATATCGTTATAATTTCAAAATTGTAAAAACTCTCCAATTGAGTGTCACTCTAGACTACAACTAGATGCTAAAATAGAAGCTGTAGAAATCTAGAAATGTTCCCTTGGTAAATGTAAATGTAACAAGCTGACCAAAGATGGAGGACAAAACAGCCACCCAAAATATTCACAAATGAAAATAATTCCTTTGTAAAATGTAAGGCAAGGAAATGTATATTTTTATGTAGTTCTTGGCATTGAATTTTCATCTTTTGTACCTTTTGCACCTTGGCTGGTGTTTTGTTTAGTTGCTAAGGCGCAAGTGCTTAGTTTTTGATGAGGTCTTTGATTTTTTTTTTTAAAGAATTTTTTCCCATCAAAGAAAGGGAGGTGAATTGTACCAGTCAACGGGCTTTTTGTACTCTGTCAGCTTAGACTCTGTTTCAACAGCCTCTAAGTGAGCGAACAATGGTGCACAGTGGTCCCTGTGCAGTGTGCAGTGTGACATTGTCTGATCTGACCAATTGCAGGTGGACAGTGTTCACCTGCCCTGTGCTTACCATGGACACCCCCTGTGTACAGCCTGCCAGACAACATGCTTTGCAGCACAATAAAAAGGCCCACCACACTGAAATAACATTGATCCGGGTAGCTGCCACTAATCAAGATGTCAATGAACAAAGAGTAGGACGTTGTCTAGCAGGGCGTACAGCTTCCCGATGGATTATATTAATTGTGCAAGTACATATTTGAACATCACAACCACTATGGCGCCTCAGCTTGACATTTAATGATAACGGTCTGAATAATATATGGTTTTGGTAGAGTATTTTTTAGTAGATGAAATACGGTATGTTCACATAAAATAGGAAATTTCGTCTGTAAACTTTTAAATGGTAATAATGACAGCTATAATGTAATTAGAAATGTCCGTTTTTAAATTTAATGTACGGTAATGGCGTTGACTGTGTATCGTTGGGTTTTATGTATAACCAGTACCACGGATATACCTATTTTGACAACATCATTGCAAATCATCAAATACGACAAAATGAAACAAACTGATTCAGTTCTCATTAATCACTCGATAGACCTTAAGCATTTTAAAAAATCTTAAGTTGATCATCTGATTTATAAATACTTTGTATTTTAGACGTTATAGTCATTATGAAACAGTCGCTAGGTAATTAATTGCATGCCTCTCATGCAAATGAGGAAGAGATCGCCGCATTTCGTCGATTCATGCATCATTTATCCATTCTCGCTTTCGACATTTCTTTTGAAACAAGGGTAAACAAATGTACCTTATTAAACGTGTTTGCTGATCGTTGAGTGATTTTATATATGGTTTTAAACGCAAGGGTTAGACATCGACATGAAAGCAGCTCTGTTTACAAAATTACACCATAAGAGGGCTTTGTTTGCTCTTATGTTTCATGCTTTTTTCTGTAGCCATAACTGCATGCCTTAAGTTATGCTGTAGTATACAAGAGCTTCAAACGGGGACTGCGGATCACTTCGTAATGCTGACTGGAATGTTTTCCTTACTGTGGCGTTTTGCTTTATAAAGACCATGCTCTTTTCCCATCAATCACCTAGCACCGCCGCGCCATTGAATCCGCTCCATGTTTTTGTATTCGCCTCATTTTTTGTTTTCGGGTGGGGGGGATTCTCCTCTAGTGTGTAGATAAAGAAAGACTAGGTCAGCCATGTGGATGTGTCTGTTGGACAGCTAAGGGGAGGGGGGTGTAACGGAGAGGGAACGTGGTGTGTAAAGCGCTCGAGAGAGGGAGCGCGGCGCAGCGCGTGTGAGAAAAAGGAAGTGGAGTCGCTAAACTGCGAACTCACTGATTTCCTATCCGTAAAGTACAGTAACAACTACTGCATACTCCCGGCGCTGAAAGCCGTACCGCTCCTGAAGAAGACAGACTGAGGGTCCCCTGGAGATTTTTTTCATGAGAATAAATTAACAAAGCGGGGTCGTCTTTTGTTAAGGCAAGTGCCAAATTCGCTCTGCCTGGGCAAAGAGGCTGTTACCGGATAAAGTGCCTGGGTGATATTGTTCTCAGTCTTCCTCATTGGACGTGGCCCAGGCCGAGGAGAAGGTTCGGCAGGGTCATTTTGTCGTAGCCGACGGGGATTTGCGGTTCAACTTTGTACGGCAGTCGTGTTTAATTTTTAAAGGTCATCAGACTGGCGGGTGAGTATTTTTAAGTGATTGTATATAATAAGCGTTAAGTTTGAGGTGGCCTGTGTCTGTAGCGGTGGTTTGGCGTGTGTTTATGTGTGTGTGTGTTTGTGTGGGGGGTGGATTGTTTAATTATACCTTGTTGATAAATTTATCAGTTATGCTTTGTTGTTGTTTAAACACGTTAGTCGAGAATAATTTAAAAATAAAATATCCCCGTTATTTCTTGGGCTACTGGCTTATCTCAAGCTACTAAGGACAGACAAAGTAACACAGTGACCGAATATTTCTGGCAAAAGTTTATTACATGTAATAAAATCTGTGCAATAGGTCTTACCTTGCAATGTTTTCAACTATGTACTTTCTACTAACCTTTGGCCCTCTGCACACATTTAATGCATGATAATTTTAGTGTGGAGATGTCTTAGTTTTTATTGTTTTAACATTAATATAATACAATTAGGATTAGGACCTTGGATTATTAGCCCAAGTATGAGTAAAAATTTTATTAGTACATATGTCTGATACATGACTGCTAGGATATCCATTCTGTGTAAAGATATTTCGGCGAAGATATGTGAGCCCTTTACAGAATACAGTTATATAGGATTGGTGTTGCTGAGAATGAAGAGGAATGGGTCTGATCAGCCCTTTGGTAAATACCCCAAACTGCACTTTCTTCCTTGGCTCTCTGTTTGCTCTTTTAAGTTTCTCATTTGACCAAGGAGTTGCAGTAAGAAAAGCAATAAATGACCCAGTATCTAATAAACACTTGAAATATGTGACTGGATGACTAGGAGAGTTTGCATAACACTGGTAAACCAACCTGAATAAAGTAGATTTCAGTCACAGCAGGGTTTTCCTGGGTCTCTGGTGAGGAGTCTACAGGGAGACCTACTACTAGAGCAGGTGATACTGTAATGTCTAGTAATATGTAGATGTGAATAAATTATCACTTGGTAACTTACTTACAACATATTGTATATCCATTTTTAATAATTTTGGAATATTAAGCGTAAAAACACTTGGGGATTGCACATACTTTGACTAGACTTCATCAGTCATAACTACAGCATTTCATCCTTAAGAATTGCCACTGTGTTCTGATTGTACATCAACACCCCCATTCCCATAACAGAATGAATGTGAAGATATTACTGTACAAAAAATAACTTTATGCTTCAAAAACCAAAACATGAAGATAATATTAAGGAATGAAAATACATCTGGACATCATAAAGCAAGTTTTGTTTTATGTCTCTGCTCAGACAGCTTCAAATGATCTGTGCAGCCAAATGGCTTTTTTCTATCTTGTTTCACAGAAATAACCTGCAGACACGTGGAGGAGCCTTTCTTATGTTTTTCCTTTAATGATTACAGTTCCTGAATGGGACGTGATAAAATAAGACTGGGAAGGGATTGCTTGCGGTTTTATTTATTGCTCTTGTATTTGTGTACGTTCTTGTATGTAGCCTTATGTTATGGGGGTTGAGTTACAGATCATCAGTTTCCAGACTATCTTGCATGAGGAGGGGAAGAAAAAAAGATGTGCAGGTTACAGATGTTGAAGTGTTAATCAAGCTAACCTGCATGTGTGAGCTGCAGTGGGTTTTGTTTTGGCTTGGTAACATTTTCAAAAAGCTCTTTCCTCAGATATTCGTTTTTGTTCAAATTTGTTTGTTGTTGGAAATGAAATCTTGGTTTTTCCTTCTGTTTTCCACCCTATAGAATAATGTTTTAGTAAGTACCCTTGTATGTTAATTTGCTTTTATTTGTCTTGTTAATATGTACAGCTTTCTGCTTCTTTTTGGCCTAGTTTTTTTCTGCCCCCTCTGACTGGGGTTTGACCTCTAGCTTAATGAGTCATATGTGATTAATTTTGTGGAGAAGTGCAGTGCTGCCTGGTTCATTTACAACAGAGTGACCAGAGATAATTGATTGGAAATTGGTGCCTTGTAACTGAAATGTACCTTTGCAGAGCTTAACACCTCCACCCACACAATTCACTTTAAAATCCATATTGGGTTTTGTGTTTAGATTATACTTCTGAAAAGCTTGACTTACCAGCAGCTCTCACAAAAAACCTGATAAAGTCACTCCTTGAACTCCCAGATGGACAGGTGATGTCAGAAATAACGCGTTAGACAAACCAGCTCTTCTGTGTATGGGCCACATTATCGGGCTTAGCTGTGCACGGAAACCATTAACACTCTAATGTGAATGGTTTCATTTTTCGAACATGTTACAGAATAGCATAATTTGGATGTGTGTTTGACCTAAATGCTGAGTAGTACTTTAACTTGTTAAAAAGGAATGGTGTTAACTAATTCCAGGTGCCGTTTGTTCAGCTCCGTTTTGAATTTTTTTTTAAGAAGTCCTGAGCAGAGGATGTGTACCATGCTGATAGTATTTTAATAAAGCACACTGAAGGAAACTGCAGAGCCCAACAGGCAGCAAGCTGAGTTTTGCATGTATTTTTAATAAAGCATAATTTCTTCACTTTACACTGCTGGACATTAAGAGTATTACTAAAATATATACACTAACATGAAGCGACCCATGAGAGATTCTACTGATAAAGTATGACCAAACACCGGCCAACACAGCTGGGTGGTTCTTTGGCCAAAGCATTATGGGAAGGTGGTCAGTGCGGTTGAACGACTAAGAACAGAGCCATGCCAGTACCATGTCCTGTCACTTTAGATGGAATAAGACTTTGTGCATGGGAACTCTGCTGGAACACAGAGACAACTGCTTCACTTCTCAGTGATTAATGTAACTGTAAGGAGGTACCATGCTTCTCTCTGTTTATCATGCTGTGAAACATCTGAATAATTCTACCTAGTTGCCTTGAAACAGTTTAACTGCTGAAGACACAACAGTGTATGATGTTGATAGCAAATTTGTGGCAGTTTATCACATTGCCAGATAAAAGTGTGTGTGTGTGTGTGTGTATAAACCCTAGTACTCTTTCATCTGTGGTGTTTGTATCTTTAAGGATATCCCTAGTGGTTAACTGCAGTTTGCTCAAAATGAATAATTAAATCAGCAAGCCACTATGTATTAGCGCATGGATTCACGCGTGTTCAAGAAAGGCACCAATGTTTGTGTACCTGGATGTGTTTACAGTTGTGTTTTGGATGATAAGGTTTATAAATGAGAGAAACCACTCACACTGTTAATTGCTCTCTCCTGTGTATCTGTGCTTTTCCTCTTTTATCTGTAAAGCAAGTCTGTGTGCTTGAGTGTTAACAGATGAAACAGCCATCATGTTCCTGTGTAGCATGACACATGCATTCCATTCACTTGATAAGAGTTATTATCTCATGTTTACTGACAATGGCTGAGTGTTTGTGTTTGTATGCAGAGATGAGCTCCGACTCACCTTTAATGTATTAAAGGAAGCATTATAGGCTCTATACTGGCATTGTGGTTGCATCAGTGCAAGGATTGTCAATAAATGATCATAATCTTAAATGTGTCTGCATGAAAGGCACGCAATGAAAGTCTTTCTGTGGTGGTGACACAATACTATACCCTGTATGTGTGCATTGTATTTTTGTATGTTTCATTTAGGTATGATTTAAACCCTCTCAATATGTGTCTCTAGGCTTATTGTCTAGCTGTTGCAGCAGCATTATTAACATAGCTTTTCAAAGGTACACATTAGGTTTCTAGCTAGACATCAACATCTGTTACAGTCTCACTATTTGTTGAGGGCTTCTGGTCTTGTGTGGTTCCATTAACGAGTCAACATCAGTGGAGGTGTGGGAGTAGATATTGGGCTAGTCGTAACACAATGCCCTAGTCTGCTCCCCTCTTGTTGTGGCTCTTTTCTACTACTGCAGTGCAGGGTTTTTGTTCTTGCTGTGCCAACAGACATCCATCAACTTCTACTTCGACTTCTGCTGTTTTACTTGTAAATAGCTTGAAGTCTCACTAGCTTGTGCATTTAAGTGGAGCAATGCAGTAGTACAGCACTCTTTTGAGTTTTGTCTTTTCTAGGATATGAGAACATAAGAATAAAAAAAAACATCTTTTCAGTGGGAATTCTATATACTTTATTTAGTCTAGTGGGCGGGGGGGGGGGAGTTTTTTCATCTTCATCCCTCCTCTTCCTGGTGAAGATCATGGTTCATGGTGGCATCATGCCCAGCAGCTCATACAAAATTTTACTTACCAAGGCCACAGACTAGCTCATTCTGAGGAATTCCCAGGTATCTCCAAGCCATTTGGGAGATGTTCCCTCTGGCATATCCTGGCTTGTCCCTGGGGTGTGCCTGGAACCGCTCCCTTGGGAGCCACTGAGGTGGCATCCTTTTAAGATGCTCAAATTACCTCAACTGGCTCCTCTTGATCTGAAGGAACAGCAGCTTTTTTTTTTAAGGTCACTCTGGATCTCTGAGCTCCTCATTCTGTCACTGAGAGTGAGCCCAGCAACCCTGCATAGAATTTGGCCACTTGTGCGCGTGACCTTGGTCATTCAGTTGTTAACCAGAGCTTATGACCATAGGTGAGGATGGGCGCCTCATGAATAGAACGCTTTGTGATTGCACAGCAGTATAATGAAAGTAAGGAAGCAACCCTTAGCTCTCACTTCACCACTACAGTCCTGTTCAGTTCAGAACTGCAGCCTCCAAACCAATTCGTCCTGTCAAGCTCATGTTTCCTTTTAATGTCATTCACCTCGGGACAAGATCCCAAGGTACTTAAACTCTGTCATTAAGGGGAACCTCTCCTCCCCCTTCTGAAAGGAGCAATCTTTTCTGGGAGAACACCGTGACTTGGGATTGGGAGGTGCTGATTCTCACCCCTGCCACTTCACACTCAGCCTTGAATCGCTCAAGTACTTGCCAGGTCAGGTGAGGATAGAAGCGCTGTTATCTGTAAGTAACAGGAGTATCATCTCTATCCTTTCTTGCTGGATATCCTGTTTGTGAAAATCACAAAATGCAGTGGAGACAAGACATGCCCATGCCAGAGGCCAACACACGTTCTATATGACTTTGATT